GGCGAGTCCCGCACACTTGCTCCCACGTCCGTCCGACTCCGACACCGGACCAGAAACGCCAAAGGGCGCCGCTCACAATACATCTGCTAAACAAAGAGCGAGAGGGGAGCTGAGAGGGGGGGGGGGGCGGATCGGAAGGGGCGACAATTTGGCCGTTCACATGAGCTGTACGCCACTCGGTCTCCCCGGGCTCTCATTAATGCCACACTCGACCGCGTCAAATTTGTATATGAGATGGGCTTCCTTGAGCTCCGTTCTATGTTTGATCTAAAGCCGGATTGAAGCAGAATGACAGAGAGTTTGTGAAATGAGTGGTCAGTTTGTGCCAAGTGTTTAGAGAGTGGAAGCCTGGGTAATTTGGTCGAATGCGATCGGTGGTTGTGAAATAATTTATTGAAGGCTGTCATGGTTTGTCCCACATACTGCATCTGACACACCCGACACTCAAGGAGGTAGACAACGTCGGGAGTGCAGCACGTAAGGTCCCCGCCAATATATATATATATATTTATAAATGTTAGCTCTTGGCGGATGTGCTGGGGTCATGGAGGTAGGAAGCTTCGGTAGGCGACATAACGCCACCAGCGGTTAAGCCGGGGGAGACGTTTAGCTTGGAGGGACACTCCTTCAACGAGGACCAAAACCTAAAGGTGCTATTTGAGGAATAAGGCAAAAAGGAGAGCTGATTTGGAGCCTAAAGCTGATTTGGTTGTGTTTTGGTAATCCTTGGGGGCGTTCCGCCGACCGCAACCTTTAATTTCGGCTTCACTTGGATTTTTCTCTCTAGGCTGACATGAGCCGGTATGTCGCCTCCCCTTATTCCTATGTCCATGGCTGGGATCCTCAAGCAAAGTGTGACGGAAAGCCACCAAAAAATGTACGAAGTGTTCAGGATCCTACTCAAGAAACGAACTGTGGAAAAAAAATGGTAAATTGAAAGAAATATCAAAATTTCAAACGCGCTTTAGCAGGAATCGCCCCACGACCTTACGATTGTGAGCTCGGCATTCTACCACCGTGCCATGTACATATCGTAAACTTCACTGTCGCACCCGGTTGCGGGTAAACGCAAAGCTAGCTCGGCTTGTCTTTACTGAACACCAACGCCCATCACAGGCGTTATTTCGTTCGGCGTTAGCGTTAGAACAGTTTTGTGAGAAGAACCAAGAAACACAGTTCGTGCCCACCATTCTATGAGAATATAACAGAGCATAAAATAAAATCACATGCTACCAGAAACACACACACACACACAACCTGCAAGAACTTTTGTAAACCCCAATGAATGGCTCGGTAACACGTTCTGTGTATACCGACGTTCTCTGCATAAATAAAGATAAATCAAGCATTTTCCTATCCAGGTTAGTTCATAAAATTTGAACGAAATAGAGTGTAGAGTAACTTACCAATAAAATATTATCTTCGAAGCTCTGGGGTCTGCAGGTGTCAGATGTTTAAGAATTTGATTAAGAGCCTTAAGGTTTTTGAGAAGATTTATATAGTGGTGACGGAAACAAGCACACAAAAAGTGCATGGTCGAAAGGTTTATTGCACTTTTTTATTGTGCACATTCATCGAGAATTTTTAAGAAGTAAAGTGCATACTTCTACTGTGCGTGGAGGTCGCCGACTCACAATCGTCATAGATCAATTTTTTTTCTTTTATTTTGTTTTTTGTATTCTTAGATGCCCTGAGAGCCGAAGTTTATGAAAATTCCTGCTTAACAATTGGCAAATTGTATGATCGACAGTAAGTAAGATATAAGAATAAAGTAAGCGAGGTATACGCACTATTCCTATTCCTGGATCCTAAAAGATTGTTCGGTAGAAGCAGCATAGCTTTGATAAAATTACATCAATCGTCCTGATATAGGTAAATTTACATAGCAATTCGTTAAATATACTTGTGTCTTACACTTTGGAGCTGGGCTGTTTCACTTGCAAGAAGCTTCGTAGCAAATATGACACGTATGCTTCGTTTCATATACGCACTACCGTTGATGATTTCAGTCTTATCAACGATGATTGCGTGTGGCCCGAGGGGTGCTTGTTTGGGCCATTTTGGGGTCCGCTCGTAGATTCTGGATCTTCCGAGACATGAGATAATGCGCCATAACACAATAAATAGCACACACATTTATTATCAGAATGTGCGTGGTTTGCGGACAAAGTCTGACATGTTTTTTACATCGGTTTCGGCCTCGAAAATAAACATTTTATGTATCACTGAAACTTGGCTAACAAGTTCTATAGCTAGTTCTGAGTACTTTAGTTCCGATTACCTGGTTTTTAGATGTGACCGGGATTCGGAAGGTTTCTCCTCCACCCTCCTGGGAGGCGTACTTACGGCTGTACAGAAATCATTACCGTTCTTTCGGCGGATTGACCTTGACATAAATGAATTTGTTTGGATTGAAGTTCGAGTCACGAACTGACCAAATCCGCTTATCGGATACTATTACTTTGTGCTTATAAAGCAATTAAATGCAGAGGTGCAACCGGGCTGGACAAGGGTGACGCAAATGATCCCTGCAGAAAGGGAACAAGAGGGACAAAGGACAAACACAATTTTCCAAACACAGCTAGGTGACTGGTGCGCGACCAAAAACGTCTGCCTGGTCCGGGTATCGAACCCGGGACCTCTCCATTTCCAGTGGAGCGTTCTACCAACTGAACTAACCAGGGGTTAAACGTCGGTAGAGAAAACAGGTTTTCTCAGCTGCCACCAGTCTAACAGCGAAGTAGGCTGTTAAAGAAAAAAACCTTTTTTTCTTCGCAGTTACCCTTTAAGAGAACTTTGTAAGTTGTTTCCAAACGCAAGTGTTAAAGATATTTGTTTTGACCAATTTCAATATTATGTAAATATATAAAAAAATATTGTAGATATGTACTTGTACAGTTCAATTTCTCAATAACTTGTCAACGTGATTAGAGTAAATTAAATGATAACCAGCAGGGGGCACCTTTTTTAGTGAGTGTTTGGTGAATGTCGTTACTACGGACCCCGAGCTTCGTGGGTTCACCTATAGTCAGTGAATGTTACCAGAGCACCCAGTTGCATTCAGTCCGCTTACAGGAAGTAAATTCTGCAGAATACAGATCTGACTAGCTGGTTTAGCTCGTGGCGGAAGTTATCAGTCGGCCATTATGAGGATTTGCCCAAAATAACAAAAAGCGTATGTAAACATTTCGCGTTACCACGGGTATCACGGGTAACCACGAGTGTGAGCTCTGCACATCGATGAGTTAGAACCGAACGGAAGGTGCTTTGCTTTCCTCTGGTTTTTCTGCTTTATATCATGTAGACATTACTCTGGTTCGCCAAAGAAGGTTGCCGGCCCGTTTGGTCGCTGCGGTTGCGCTGGTGCTGTGTTTCAAATACTACGTTTCAGGCGCTAAGCCTAAGATTTGACTTCGATGTGTTTTAAGGGGAGAGATAAAGAGAGACAAAGACAGAGACGAGACGAGACAGCAAGGAGCAGCACGCGCAAAACCTAAAGGAAATAATTTAAGAAAAGAAAGAAAATCCAGTCTCGCTACAGTCGAGGAAAGTCGATTCAAGAGATCGCACGAGAACGCTGTACGCTTCGACCGCACATGGCAGCGCCTAATTGGCGATGGGTTGGAGCGCGACGGCTGCGTCGAGACTCGGTTCTGAAACAAATTAAAATGTTAAAAGGCGCGAACTAAAAGAGGACAACGAAAGACACACGTACAAGGACAAGCGCCAGAAGTGAAGCTTGGGAGCTTCGGTACTCGGGGAACATCCAGCGACTGTAGGTTCACCCACACTTGTCTGGCTTTCGTGGCCTGCCCATGAGAGGAAAAAATGATTTCATGATGGTTGTGCTGGGCAAAAGGAAGGTTTGGACCCTTCGTCCCCCCCCCCCCCCCCCCCCCCCGGCAAGGCTATACAGCACCTTGGCCTCCGCTTCCTGCGGAATGGTGTCCTGGTAAGGCCCGACCAGGATAATCCAGTCGGTCGCCTTTCTTATGATATCCCCTGTTGTCTTTCACTTTCCTCCTATTCAATTCTTTCAATTTGTGCCTTCTTTTGGGGCAAGGACCAAACTTGGGTGGGTATGGATTTCCTTATTTAGAACAACACTTGGGCATGGTGTTTGGGCATGCGCTGGTAGAGTAGCATTCTTAGCAAAGGCTTTTTTGTTGAGGTGTTACCTCTTCCTTTGTGGGACAGAATGGTGGGTGGCGAACCAAAGCCACTGAATTCCCAAGCAAACCAAAATACCCAATCCGCCTCTGAAAAGGGTCACACCGAAGCAATAATTCTATCAAGCAATTATAGATGGGCGGCCCCGCACGGGCCGCCCATCTTCACATTCACCTGCTGGTGTTGTAATTGTAGTGCAGATTGAAGTGCCGTGTACTGGAGTCCCTTTTCACACTTCTTTCGAGGCTGTTTCTACACAAAAATTCTTACTGACCGTCTCATTATAATTATTTCTTTGTATCTCCCAGCACACATTCCCTAACACGTGCATGACATACAGGACATTTTAACTCAACTTTCACAGCCGTTATTAAATTTAGGTAAATCTAATGCTGATAACACCATGAGGGACAATGCACGAATTGATTCCCGTAGTGGGGTTATTGAGCGATCGCTACTGTTTTCAAATTTTTCTTTAAATAACAAACCCCCAACATTTCTTAGTGCTGCACACAGCTCTTTCACCTGCATTAATATTTCCCTTTCATCACGAATATGGCTTCCTTGTCTTTATTGGAAGGTTTCAGATAATCCACTTGAGAGTGAAAACTTCCCAGATATCTTAGAAAGCTTTGTTGACCTTCCCTGAGTTCAGAGAGGTATGCATACTTGGAAACTAGACAAAGCGGTCTGGGAACTTTTTAGCCAAGTTGCTACATTCAGGGCTTCACTATCTGCTATTATGTCCCCTGAAAAGGCTACGACGTGTGGTATTCAACAGATGATTAATGCCGCCGAGCAGTCTATTGCCCATACCTCCGGAAATTTACCAAAGAAACGCGAGCCGTGTTGGCACGAAGGCTGTTCAATCACCACAACGAAGGAAAATCGAGCCTGGAAAGCTTCCCGGTGGTAGACAACTCTGAAGACTAAGATTACCTTTAAAAGGCGCAAAGCGCAAGCCCGCTAGAGAAGAAAGCTAGCAAAGAAGACATCTTGGATTTGATATCTCTCCTCTGTAAGTACTTTTTCGTACGGTTAAAGAGGCTTGGGACTGCCTACGCAAACATCAAAGGCGACTACCGATGTTTTACCATTCCTGCATAAAACGTGTCTTGGGGTCTGTCAGAGATGTTACCAATGTTCTCATTCAGCGTTTCAACGGTGAATTCAGCTCTAATATTTATATTGCATACTTCTAACAATTTACATTTCGCACAGGAAGTACTCTATTCCAAAGTTGGGTACTAACCCGGTGCAATATAATGTGCCCTTTAGAATGTGTGAGCTCAACGAGCATTTGATTTAATTATCTAACTAAAACCCCGAGCCTGGAACGAGATGGGACGGACAAACACAAGGTCTTCGACAAAGCTGAAATTTATTTCACAACAAAAGGGCTTATATAGGCATCAATTCCTACACAAAACGTTAGAGACGAGAGAAGGCGAGAGAGACAAAAATGGGGAATCTTCCGCCAAAAGCAGTACAGCAAAGCAAACGTTAGAACAGAACTGAGAAGCAGTGACCTCTATTATACAACACAAAAAAAGACAAACATTTTTCAACACTGTTTGCACTGGCAGTGCCTCCAAAACCACTAAAAAGAAAGATGTTTCAAGGATAACTGAAAACGTACACTTTTCTGGCGAAGGCCAGAACTCTAGAGAAGGAAGGACGCAAAAAACCAAACGACGAGGAACCCTACACAACGCAAACTGATATTGATAAAGCTTGAACTTGGGTACAATCAACCAAAACCTCCTAGGCCACAACGAAACACGACCTTATGCGCAAAGGCACCAAATTTGTAGGAATTGACACTACTTTAGCCAGTTCACTGTTTCGTTCGCTGGAAGAGAAAATCAGTCTGTTGCGACAGATATATTACAAACTCTAGTGAGTACACTGACGCTCCTATGGTCATCGTTCACTAATTTGAAAAACTAAAGGTGAAGCATGCTGATAATTTCCAGTTTTATATTATAATTTAATAATTTACAGGATTGTTTTATGACTCCGAGAAATTATCTATTGGTTTTAGCTAACCTTCATCGTCCAATATACTTCTCCATAATACATCCAAGTTTCTTCCGCCTTTTTAAACGCCAATCCAGCACCGTGTGGCCAGTAACGCGCCATGCTCTCCCAACAATTTTCCATAGTGAACGCATTAATTTAATTGCCAGTATCATTATTGGAGAGTTGTATACAGTATTGTTAGCAGAGGATGTGCATTAGACTGAGGAGAATGGAAAGGTAGAATATATTTGTAGACTTGCAAAGTGTAATTACTGCAATTATCTCCCTGAAAGACACCAAAAATGCGCTCATAGCGCTTGTGCGTGTCAAGATTAATAGAACATTGCAGAACGGATGCTACATTGCATTTTGTTGGGTTCCAAGTCACGTGAGTATATTAGGCAACAAGAAAGCTGATGGGCTCGTCTCGTCCTCCAGGAATCTTCGGCAATAGACCTATCTCACGAGCCAGTTTGACTACGCCACCGCTGCCGCGATGAATCGAGGGAATTTTAGTCTTTCTGGACGTGCGACAATTTCGCTGGAGCTCTGCGCGTGTGGAGCACAAGACAGTTCGCGCACTCGCGTGTACTGCCGTTTGCCTCCTGTGAACGAAAGTTATGGCGGCGGCACGCTCGCGCCGAACGCTTGGTGAGATCGATCTATTAGCTGCTCGATACGTTACCAGGACATCAAACGAATCTTGAGGCCTTCAATTTTCAAAAGGATGGCTCAGAAAATGGAACAGAGTACCTTATAGTAAGCTTCACTTCCCGAAGCCCATTTCTGAATTCTTGGAGAGTACCTCATTCGGGCATTGGTTCCACAGGATCTTAATATGTTGTCTTCGCATAGGCCATTCGCATATCGCCCACCAACGCCTCCTGTGGTGGGAACATCCACCACGCTGTGCAGACTGCGGACGTGCTGTGTCCATCCTACATCAATTAGGGGCTTGCTCTGGTCTTGAGGAAAAACGACGGTATTATTTTCATGTCTTTTTTTATATCGTATACTCGTTTTCCCTATCATTTTACTGGAAAAGAACCCTCTCATCTCAATTGCTCGTGTGCTTAGTTTTATTGCTAGCACTGGCCCTTTACACTGGATCTATTACCACTTATATCTGTCAGGTCACTGCATACTTAAATAATATAATATATAATGTAGTGCTGCGCACTTTGGTCTAAGTTGCTTTTTGCGCCATAAAACCCTCGATCATTATTATCTTCAAAATTTCAAAAAAAGATTTTCCAACAGTTGTCGCGTAGGAATTACAAAATAAATACTACATGCACTTTGTTTGAGGTTTTCAGAATGCGCTCCGTCGCTCCTAGGACATTACGCATTCCTTCTTTGTAAGAACGTATTGTTGCTGGCGTTCGCTCGTCAAGAAACACGTCAACAAACACGTCAACAAACGCAGCGCCGCATTGTATTTCGCATTTTGTTGCAGCCGTGAGGCAAGATTCACCGAACGGTCATGGCAAGGGCATTTTTTTTTCATTTTCGTTCTTCTGCGAGCGTACATTGTTTGTCGTCCTGTTGTGCAGATTATGTATTGACCGTTTATTTTTCTACATTTCTGTGCTTAAAACACGAGTGGTCAGGATTAAAATATTACACTAGGGCGCAAATGTCTTTCTAAAATAAAAAAAAGAAAAAAATAGAACGTTTATCTAATTCGTTTTTTCTTAAGTTGACGATAAGTTGACGATCAGCAAAAGCATGACACCTATAGCTTGGCGTCCATTGGCATTTAAGTTATTCTCTGTTCCTTATTATGTCAAACCACGCTCAACGCTATGGTCCGCCCAAGCCTATTAAGCAGCACCAGAAGTGTATCGTCACGGCGACGGTCGTCTTTGCGCTTTTAGCGGCAAAAACAATTACGCATAAAAAATGCGCCGTGCGACTGAGCTTCTTTTTTGAACGCAAAGACTGGAGATATTATAGTGATGCGCTTCAGGGCGCTGCTTGCCTTATCGGAGAGTAGCGTTGGCTGCAATGGGACAATGTGAATTGGATTAGAGCTGTAAATATCATTCACACTGGAGTTTACTGGAGGCGGACTTCGCACTCTGTTCCAAGGTATCACGGCCGGGGCAATATCTAGTCTCCCGAACATCTAATTTCCGGTTTTGAGAGCTCAATAAACGCATGCACGTGAGAGAACTGTTTTGAATAATGGACTGTATTTAGCTCGAAAATATAACTACCCTGACTGGTTGGGTTTCGAAAATAAAATATAATTTTTTTCAGGGGTTATCAATCCCAACATTTAGGGCCTATGTCCACTTCCGCGATCTCTCTGTAGTACTCCAGAAAATAAAATAAAAATATTTTCTTTTTTTAGAAATATATAAATGATAACGTTATCATTATGAAAGCGAATTCCAATATGAAACTGTTGCTGTCACTTAAACAGTATTCGTGCAAAGAAAAAAAAAACAAGTAAAAAGAAAGAAGTTTTTCTTTTTTTTAGATCCGATTTAAATCCGCCTGACTTTTTAAAAGAAACGGCAGGAACGAGACGTGCTTTTTCGTCTTGTTTTACTCTCAGATAATTCCTGGAAAAAACTAAGTGTTGATTAAGAATTCGTGAGCTGTATCTGAGGTCTTTAGTCAGGTGAGTAAACGGCATCAGTAGAAACAAACTTTCCTAGGAGCATGTTTTGTAACACACTAACACGAAATGTTTTAAAAGACTGTACACGGGCCTGTCATTGTAGTCTTGCTGAGCAATGCTAAAAAAACTTTATAATACGCAATAAAACCTAAAAACGTCCCCAGCAGCGCAGTTGTTGGCGCAGTAGACCGCACTGCTGATCTGGCTGCTAAACCAGTTATCGAAATTTCATTTCTATTGAAAATTGTGTATTTTATTTTTAATTTTTTTTACTCTAGTTTAGCTAGAGTGGCAAGGGAGAAATATACAAAATCAATACTCGTACACTATACACTAAACAATCTAAATCAGTGATAAAGCACAGGACAAAACGACAGTTATAAAGGCGGCCTAGCTGAATAATTTCTAGGCTGCTTTTGCATATGTTGATTTGAGTTGTCTCTGGTAGCCTCGTATAAGGGCTGCGTTTTTAGCTCCAGTTGCAATCACATCACGATTCCTTATAATATCACATTAATAGCGCCCCTCCGCGAATGTCGGTCACTCGCGCGGAATCCCGAAGGATGAAAGCACCGTACTGTCGCAGATAACGAAACTGCATCAGCCACTCCATAATTGTTCGGCATACATTTCAATATTTGAAGAAGTTTTTACCCCAACTCTGACTGGAATGGGAAGATGGGAGCGCATTCTTTGAACTCTTGGATAGTTCGAAAATTATTGAAGGTTGTGGGAACCGCAGTTATAGCAAACGTCCACATTTGCCAACACCAGAAGGTGTCGGCAAATTAAGGGCACAAAATTTAAGAATAGGTAGTTTTAGAGAATTGGCTCCTACGCTTGGGGGCACCTAAGTCATAGGGGGACACGAGCTCAGCGACACTCGCGCTGTCGGCCCAGCATGACATGCTTCCTTTTTTCGCTTGCAGCGCCAATAGGGTAAACACGCGAAATCAATAAATTGAAAAATATAAACACATATTATATTTGCGCTTGACAAACACTGGTGCTTGCGTCAGAGATATAAAGGGTAATTTAAAACCACATTTACCCGTTGATGAGCAATCAATAAATGTTTTAACAAAAGACCAAATCAATAAAATTTCGTATTTATCTTTTTCACGAGAGACGTTTCTCCCTCTCTCTTGTAGCTCGCTTTTTGTACAGCACACCCGTTGTACAATGCACA